GGCTTGACCTGCCCTTTGTAAAAACGCAGAGTGCATTGAGTGAATGTTGGGAAAATATATTGGTTCCTTTCTAAACATAGCAATGTGAATGCAAAGAAGACTCGGACCACAAAATGGGTGAAGTGAACTGGCAAAAGATTTGAGTCCTCATTCAAAGGCAAGGGCAATGTGAATACAAAAATAACTGAGTTCACTTTAAGAGGACTGAGATCGGTTATTTTAAAGAGGACTATATGTGAAAACAACTTACTCTACAGCAGGGTTTTCCCAAACGCGGTTATGCCGTATCCCCCCCCCCAATCGGGTGAGAATGGCCTTGGTCAGGGAGGTGACCAAGAACCCGATGGTCACTCTGACAGAGCTAGTTTATGCTAACTTGTTAGCTAGAAACTTCACTAGCAGTAAATGCTAGCCAACTAGCTAGTTTAGCATAAGCTGCTAGGTGCAACTTACTACCCAGATCGTCTGAGGTTAAATACATTAAAATGATAATTACTTGAATTGCAGTTGTAATGTTTCCACTAGTGACTGATAGCTTTACAGTTAATGTTCTTTATAGCCTTTTAGCTATTTTACACAGCATCTTATGTCATATAGCTAGCTACTTTTTTAAGATAGAGCTTTTCATTGGCATCTCCCCCCTGTTTTCAGTCACAGTTGTGGACTGGATTAAGTGTGAGCAGTGCAGGAGGTTGGCTCCAATTTTACTGGGGATAAGCTTTATTGTGCCTATGTACAATTAGAATTGTTCAATAGCAGAGCATAAGATCCACATCATGTTAAGTTATTGTTACTAAATGTTATATTCTAATGTTATTAATTATATTCCATTCCAATATTATATTCCAATGAATATTTTTTTGAATGAATTAAAAACAACTATTGAAAACCTTTTGCTCCTGAATGTCATTTTAAAGACTGCTGGGATTAAAAATCTTGCATTATTCAAATAATATTTAGTGCAATTGGTACATAATGGATTGTATGGAAAAGGAACAACAAAGATATTTATTTAAATAATTAAAATAAGACAACTAGACTAGCTTTTAACTATTACTTACTAAAGAATTTCTAAATAAAACTGATTAAATGAATTTTAACACGCTTGTGTGAAACCCTAATGCCATATCTTCTACCGGGGTAACTGACAACCCCGGTACTGGCAAACCCTGGTACATAAAACCATATTTCATGAAATAACTAAAAAAGTGTAAACTGTAGCCATTATTTCCCTTTATAGTTTATTCGCCTAAACATGACCTTCATCCATACACGTTGCTTTTTTTGTGTCAGTAATTAGACATTGTTCTTATGGGGGGGCTAGTTTACCCCCTAGTACCCTACGCAGGAGCGGAAGGATGGCCACAAGCGGGGGAGGAAGACAAGACAACTGAAATTATGTATTATTAAACAAAATGTATGCCAAGTTTCATGAAGGGCCCCCGGATGATGTGAGGCCCCAGGCAATTGCCTAAGTTGCCTAATGGTAAGACCCGCCACGGTGGTTTTGTGTGTGTGTCAGTCTCATTTCAGTCTGATCTGAGCAACATTATGACTCACAGTTGTACAACCATGTACGAATTTGAAGCATACTTCAATACACAAACTGACATGGGACACAGAAGAACACTAAACAACCACACACAAATCAAATAGTTCTTGTACTTCAGATACACACTGACATGGACACAGAGAGACACAACACACACATATCTAACAGTTCTATACCTCAGACTAAGAACAGACTCAGGGGATGTCCAAGTTCTTTGAGGCTGTCCTGAGACACAGGTTAATGTTGTTGTTGTTGTGAACTGAAACGATCTGGGGTCCTGCCTAGAAATGCTGTCTGTGCTTAGGCCACCCCAGGGTTCAATATCTGGCCTTCCACCATTAGACACTATACTATTAGGCTTATACACAGAGGCCCTCTTTCACTGGGTTTGAACTGGAATCCTGTGTACGCTGGCTTTAAATGTTGCCGACATTCAGTTGTAATTATTTAATCTTCTAGGAAATCTAGGCTAAGAGAAATGTAAACTTGCCAAATCCAGACCGGAATATAATGACAATATGATCAAAATCTTAATTGTGCGGTTCGTAACAAGTCCTGATCATTGAGAGAGGAAGGCACTGAGTTTGTTGGTGTGATAATTACAAACCCAGTTTAATTTCCAAACAAAGGTCCCTTGTCCCTGTGATGTTGAGAAGCTGTCGACTTTGACACAAATATACTGCTCAAAAAATAAAGGAACACTAAACAACAAATTGTAACTCCAAAGTCAATCACCCTCTGTGAAATCAAAAACTTGTCCACGTAGGAAGAAACCACTGATTGTACATACTTTCAGATGCTTTGTGCAAATGGAAAATAGACAACAGGTGGAAATTATAGGCAATAGCAAGACACCCCCCCAATAAAGAAGTGGTTCCTGCGTGGTGACCACAGACCACTTCTCATGTTCCTATGCGTCCTGGCTTATGTTTTGGTGACTTTGAATGCTGGCGGTGCTGTTCACTCTAGTGGTAGCCAATGAGACGGAGTCTACAACCACACAAGTTGCTGCATTTAGTGCGCTCTCCAGGATGCTACATCATCGAGCTGTGGCAAGAAGTTTGCTGTGGTCTGTCAGCGTAGTGTCCAAGCATGGAGGCGCTACCAAGGATACATGGCCATACATCATTAGACGTGTAGGAGCCGTATAGGGCAACAACCCAGCAGCAGGACCGTTACCTCCGTCTTTGTGCAAGATGACATGAGGAGCACTTGCCAGGCCTGCAAAATTACCCCAGCAGGCCCACAAATGTGCATGGTTCCCTGCTCAAAACGTTAGAAACGACTCCATGAGGGTGGTATGAGGGCCCGACGTCCACAGGTGGGGGTTGTGCAAATTCGCCACTGGCGCCCTGTGCTTTCACTGATTAAAGCAGGTTCACACTGACACAGTGACATTACGTGACCTGAGTCTGAGACACCGTGGAGAACGTTTTCTCGCCCTGCAACATCCTCCAGCATGAACCGGTTTTGGCGGTGGTCCAGCATTGTGTGGGGTGGCATTTCTTTGGGGGGGGGCCTCACAGCCCTCCTGTGCTCGCCAGATGTTCCTGACTAATGAGTACAGAGATGAGATCCTTAGACCCTTGTGAGACAATGCTGGTCGTTGGCCCTGGGTTTCCTCCTAATTCAAGACAATGCTAGACCTCATGTGGCTGGAGTGTGTCAGCAGTTCCTGCAAGAGGAAGGCATTGATGCTATGGACTGGCCCGCCCGTTCCCCAGATCTGAATCCAAATTGAGCACATCTGGGACATCATGTCTCGCTCCATCCACCAACGCCACGTTGCACCACAGACTGTCCAGGAGTTGGGGGATGTTTTTAGTCCAGGTCTGGGAGGAGATCCCTCAGGAGACCAATACGCCACCTCATCAGGAGCATGCCCAGGCGTTTGTAGGGAGGTCATACAGGCACGTGGAGGCCACACACACTACTGAGCTTCATTTGACTTGTTTTAAGGACATTACATCAAAGTTGGATCAGCCTTGTAGTGTGGTTTTCCACTTTAATTTTGAGGGTGACTCCAAATCCAGACCTCCATGGGTTGATAAATTTGATTTCCATTGATATAATTTGTGTGATTTTGTTGTCAGCACATTCCCAAATATATAAAGAAAAAGTATTTAATAAGATTATTCATTCATTCAGATCTAGGATGTGTTGTTTAAGTGTTCCCTTTATTTTTTTGAGCAGTGTACAACATCAGTCTACGTCCTATAATCATGGCTTTAGTGCCAAAGATGTATTGTTCCCTAAAGTTTCTGCAAAATTGAAACACTTGAAGGCTCATTCATTTGCACTTAAGCATACTGACAGAGCACAACACACAACCTTTTGATACGTGATCAAACCAGTTACTGGTTAATCTCAGACATAACAGTCAAGCAGGTTATAAAAGGTAAACGTAAGAGGCCTGATGTAACTCCAGAAGCACCATTTCAAACCTCGTCTTCCTCCACGTCGTCAAAGGGCTGGTTTCTAAAATGAGTAAAGGGTTGAAAGGGGAAAAAAGCAGAAATTGATAATTCATTATCCTTCTCCACAATGTGTGTGTGAGGGATGAGCCTAGACTAGGGAGAATCCATCTGTATCCATTTTTTCATCTCCATATACATATTTAAAAACCAACACACCTCAGTCACTCCACTGTCCCTGGGCCTGAACTCGTAATGGTAACCAACACTATGTTCCAAAACAATGACTTGGCTTTGCTTTGTACCCACCAGCTGATAGGCTACCAGGAGGCAGGGGAAGGGGGACAGGCAGTTATCATACAGACCTACAGGTAACTGCCAAAACAAAGGAAACAACCAACATAAGTGTCTTAATAGGGCATTGTGGGCCACCACGAGCAGCCAGAACAGTTCAAATGTGCGTGGCATATATTCTATAATTGTCTCGAACCTACTGAAGGGGTGCAACACCATTCTTATACGAGAAATTCCATCATTTGGTGTTTTGTTGATGGTGGTGGAAACGTTGTCTCAGGCGCCGCTCCAGAATCTCCCATAAGTGTTCAAGGTTGAGATTGGTGACTG